ATAGAGGATAAAGATAAAAATATCATTATTGAGATTAAAGATTTTCAAGTAAATAAAGAAGAAGAATTACAAGAAGATGAAGTAAAAGATGCTCTCTTTACTATAGCTACTGTCTATAAAAAAGAAATAAATATTCTTGTCAATACAGGTTCTAAAGGATATGTTATATCTAAACATTTTCTTAATAAAATTAATAAAACTATTGATGAACTAGGAAATGTTTGAATGATAAATATAACAGGAAATAGAACTATACCTCTTGGAAAAGTTTTCAACATACCTGTAAAATTTAAAAATTTAAAAATACAAGTAGATATGCTTGTAACTAAGTCAAAGAAATATAATGTTGTTCTTGGGAATAAATACTTGAATCAAGCTAAAGCCAGTATTGATTTTAAAATTGGTATTATAACAGTTGGAAATAAAAATAATTTAGAATATATACCTATAACATGTTGAAAAAAAATTGAAGACCCTAATATACTTTGTGAAATTTCTTATCAACAAGCAAAAGATAATAATTTAGAATTAGAACTAGAAGAAGAAGAAGATTTGGATAATAGTAGATATTTTTCAACTCATATTCAAACTAACTAATACAGTACTTCACCAAGGTTGATAATCAACTTATATCTACTGTAAATTGCTGCATAAACCACTCCCTTTATAGAATATCTCTTTTTTAATAGACTCGGGTCTGTTATACAGTTATATATAATTTTAAGCCAAACAAAAAAAATAATTTAAAAAAATATTTATATCATTTTAAAAAAAAAAAAATAAACTTCCAAAATATCTATTTAAACTTTATTTATTGAAGTTTATTACTGTAAAGTTTAAATTACACTCTTCATATTCTTTGCTTCTAATCCCAAAAATTAGTATAATCTAAAGTTTCTCTCTTATAATAATTATCGATTTCATTTTCTTTATCATTATCATTAGAGTCATCATAAGACTGAGTTTTATCTAACAATTGATTCATCAAAGAACCTTCTCCATTATTAATACCATCATCATCTTCATTCTTAAAGATAAAGTTTGTATTTTTTGGTTTGTTGTTTATAACCTGTTCATAATCAAATATAAGATGATCTTTGGAGCTATTACACGCATTCGAAATGCCACAGTATTTAAAGAACTTTTGGATAAGCATTGCATCAATGCTTTTCTATACAGTATTTACCCATTTTGCAAGAGTACTATAGGCAGGATGTTGTATTTAGCCAGTAGGAGTTAATTTTTTCACTTTTTCAGACATTCATTCATTATAAAGTGCACAAATCTAGCAAAAAAAATTATTTATTAAATTATTTATTATAAAAAAATAAAAATTACAAAAAATAAAATAAAATAAAAATAAAAAACAAATTAAAATTGAAACAATATTAATTTTAATAACCTTTGCTTTAAAAGGTTTATTAATTGCAACATCGAGAGGTTGTAGTCTTGAAGTTAGGCCACCAGGGATAACTGCTATATTTGTGCAGTGTTTACTTAATTATCATTTAACTGGATCAGTTATATACTCTGAAAAAGAGTTTAATACTAAAAAAAATCACAGGTATGTAATCAACAAGTTACGACGGTTTCAAATATTTTCAATCCACCATAACATTTCATCATTATTCATCCATTTCTCCTTGTTTGTGCAAATCAAAACATCATTTGGAAAAGTTTGATATAGAATATTAACAAGTTTGAAAATGATCATAGAAGGTAGTTTTATCCTATTTACCAAACATATAAGAACGACAGTAAAATGACTTTTTTCATAGCCACACATGTGAATACTAATAGACCTAGCCCTAGTTTCATCAATTGTAACTGTACTTAGCATATCAAAATATACTGGAGTTTCATCCATGTTCCCGATAAGTGCTATGGGATAATTATATTGAATTCTGCAATATAAAATGAAACTTAAAAATTCTTGTTGAGCTCCCTTTAAGTCTTCAGGTGGCTTCTGGGCCATCGTAGTATGATGATGATTACTTAGATTATACCAACATATAAATCCATCCAACCATTTTTTACTTCACTTGTACTTACTAATTGATAGGTATATTGAAAGATACTGCAATTTTTTGGCCAAATTTTTGGCTCTATTCCATACTATAAAACGAGTAACAGCTTTTTGCTAAATGCGTATTTCCCAAACCCAAACTACTAACTCTTTTTCGAGTTTAGGATATTTTGGCCAGAATCCTGTATTAAGACATTTAACATGTAGTGAAGTAGCTTGTAACTGTGTATGTTTATTTCGCCAATCTTGTATTTGATTGGGTTGTATATCAAATTTTGCCGCTATATTACGAACTAAAGTACTAAGATTTTTATCCAAAAATATAAGTATTGTTAATTTTTTGCAGACATTCCAAACACTTTTTTTTTTCAGTTATAGTAAAGCATTTTTGGTTATTTATTTTATGTATTATTTATAAAAAAAAAAAAAAAAAATTAAATTAAATCTTATACAGTAGTATTATAAGTTATATATTCTTATTAAAAAAAAAAACCTACTTTAAACAACTCAAGTATAACTAAAACATGATAAAGTCTTTATTTGCTTATAAAAGTGACAGATCATATACAAAAAAAAAAAATAGTGTCTTTACAAACACAAAAAACCATTTTGAGATCTGAAAAAAAATCTAAATTTATATATTTGGCATTTATATAATTATTAATTTTAATTAGTTAATAAAAGGTCCTGTATAACAGACCCCCTAATAGTAGACCTTTCTCTGTACAACAAACTCCTGGGTCTAAATTAATTTTTGTGTTGGTTTAAAGTAACAGACCCTGGGTAGTTTATGCGGCAATTTATAGTAATATAAGGATCAAAAATAGTAAAGATTCTAGGAACAATATGGATGAAATTTTCAAAATAGTTAAACCTGAAATAGAAGATATGGTTTTCAAACAAAAAGTTGTAAAACAAAAATCTAAAGAAATATTTATTACTGAAAACAAATCAACATTTATAGGAAATAATTTAAACATTAAACAAGAAACAAAAATAAAAGATTTTCTAAAAGAAAATTCTGATATTTTTGCAATTTAATTTTTGGAACTTAGACAGACCAACATTATTTACCATGCTGTTCATACTAAAAACTATTTTTCTATCAAACAATGAGCATATTAAGCATCTCTTATTGAACAATAACATATTAGAACTAAAATAGAAAAGATGGAAAAAGATAAAATAATTTGTAAATTTAAAAGTCTCTGGAGTTCACCAGTAGTATTAATAAAAATGAAAAATGAAAAACTTCGATTTTGTGTGAATTATAGAAAGTTAAATTTAATAACTAAGAAAGATACATATCCTCTTCCTCGCATAGATGAAAAGTTAGATAATTTAGAAAAAGCTAAATGGTTTACTTCTTTGAATTTAACCTCTGGATACTGGCAAGTTCAAATAAAAGAAGAAGATAAAGAAAAGATGGTCTTTATTACAAAATATGGTCTTTATGAGTTCAATATTACGCCGTTTGAACTTTATAATGCTCCTTCAATATTTCAAAGATTAATAGATGTAGTTCTTAATTCTGTTTTTTAAAAATATACTATAGTATATATCGATGATGTCAATATATACTCTAAATCATTTAAACAACATCTAAAACATTTAAATGAAGTTTTTAAACTAATAAGAAAGGCCAATCTATAAATCAATTCTGAAAAATATCATTTTTGTACAAATGAAATGCAATTCCTAGGACATATAGTAGGAATTGATGGGAAAAAACCTGACGTACAAAAGGTAAAAAAATTAGAAAAACTTCCACTGCCCAAAAACATTACCCAACTTAGAGCATTTATGGACTAGCTTCCTATTATAGAAGATTTATCAAAGAATTTGCTAAAAAGGCTACACCTTTATATAAACTATTACAAAAGGATATAGAATTTATTTAGACTAATGAACATGAAGAAATATTCAATTGGCTTAAACAACAATTAATTACTCCTTCTATACTTCAATATTCTGACTATAATATATCTTTAATTCTTTTCATGGATGCTTTCTATCAAGGTATTGGAGCTGTACTTGCCCAAATAAAAAACAAAAAGAAATATGTTATTGCTTATACAAGCAGAACACTATCTCTTGCAGAGAAGAACTATAGTACTATTGAGCTTGAGTATTTAGCAGTAGTCTGGGCAGTAAAATATTTTCGACATTATATATATATAATGAGATTTACTCTGGTTACCAATTACAAGGCTTTACAATGGCTCTTAAACTCTACCACCATTAATGATAATAAATGGATTACAAGAATATCAGTATAATATTAAATATTGTACTGGTAGCCAGAACCAAAATGCAGATTTCTTTTCACACTTATCAGAATTTTACAAAGATACAGTAATAGATAATAAAGATTATAATCAATTATTAAACTATCTTACTCATCTTATATATCCTACAGACACCTCTATTATAGAAAAATCTTATTTACAAAAAGAAGCCAAGAAATATTTTGTAGAAAATAATATTTTATATCATCAAAATAATAAGAAACCACAAAGAGTAATTAAATTATTTTAAAAGCCAACTATCTTATATTTCTTATATAATGAACAAGAAGTACATTTGGTTATTGAATCTACTGTACTTATAACAAAATAAAGGAAAGATTTTATTGGCCTAGAATGTATAAAGACATTAAAAATTATATACAAACATGTGATATTTGTTAAAGAAGAGAACATAAAGTTAAACACCAAACCTTATGCCCATTAGAAGTAAAATATCCATTTCATAAAATGGGAATAGATATAAAAGGACCATTGCCAATAACAAAACATGGTAATAGATATATCATTGTTGCTATGGATTATTTAACAAAGTGGCCTGAAGCAAGAGTTATATCAGATGTAAAGGTGGCTACTGTTACTAATTTTATCTATAAAGACATTATTTGTAGACATGGAACTCTAGAAATATTACTTTCAGATTAAAAAAAGAATTTTATAAGTGAGATTGTAAAAGAATTGTGCCAAAAATTTCAAATTAAACATCATAAATCTTTAGCATATTAATCTCAAACCAATGGAATGATAGAAAGATTTAATTGGACAATTGGTGAAGCTCTAGCAAAAATTACAAGTTATAAATACAAAGAATGTGATGAAATCTTTCCTTCTGTATTATTAGTCTATCAAACTATAAAGCATTAAACTACTAAATTTACTCTGTTTTCTTTAATATATGGATAAGAAGCTAAATTACCAATTGAAACCATTATCGAAACCTATTATGATAAAGATATATCATTTCAAGAAGCACTACTAAATAGAATATTTGAAATAAAAGATTTATTGGTAAAACAACAAGAAGCTATACAAAATATACAGAAAGCACAATACAGTTAAAAGGAATATCATGATAGAAATCTCAAGCATAATACTTTAAAAATTAGAAATAAAGTATTAGTAGCTAGATCTTATCTTAAAAATGTCTTTTTGGCAAAACTAGAAGAACAATTTATGGGTCCATACATTATTTATGATATATTAGAATTTGGAGTTTATAAACTATGAACCTTTGATGGCAAAAAAATAAAAGATCCTGTACATGGGGACAGATTAAAATTGTATCATGATAAAGAAATTAAAGATCTCCCTGTACCTCAAATTATTATCATACAAAATAATAACACAAATTAGTAGATCGTATAACCTTGATTTTTATAAATATACCCTTCGGTTGTCAAAGTCCCTTAAATTTTCAAATTCTTAAAAATTTCTAAAACTTAGAATTTTATAATTTTTATTTAACTTTTATATATAACTTTTTATATTCTTTTATTTATGAATTTCTTTATTTAAAATGGAATTACAAGTTTTTGACAATATATTTCTCTATTGAAGCATTACAAAGATTACAATGATTCTTGAATGAATGGAAACAAGAATATAACAATGGCAAATACTTGAAGATTGATCAAGAAAAGATTATTCTTATAGAAAATAATGAAACTAGAATTGAAACCTCAATTAATGAAATTCTTGAATGTTCTTTTACAAGCCCTCCAGAATTTGACTTCTTTAATGAGTTCATTAATCATGAAGAATGTGATACACTTTATCAAAAAACTACTGTAAATCTTGATCATAATTCTTTAAATTCCCAAAATAATATATTATGGGATGAAGAATATGATATAGGAGAACCTTCTGAAAACGAATCTAGGGAAGAAAGACCTAACTTCGAAAAAGATAATTTAGAAACAAATCTAATAGTTCAATTTAATAATGAAAATTCAACTCTTAACGAAGATGACTCTCCATTCGCTAAAATAACTAGAGATTTGAGTCGAAATTCAGAAGTAAATGACATACCTATTTCTCCTTTTGTTGGCAATGACGAATTAGATACTTTCAATAGAATCATTAAAGCCTATATTAAGATTGAGAAAAATAATCTTAAACGTATCCCACGATTAGTATTTATATATTTAACGATCTTTCATGCTTGTATTTATTAATAGAATTATTTGAAGCTAATATTTGCATCTCTTAGGCACGTGCACGAATGTCCCTGAGATATATTTTATACCTTTTGGGATATACTGATGAAGATTATATGATGATTCTGTTAAAACCTATACTTTTATCAAGAATCGAATGTGTTATATGTACAAATGCAAATTAGAATATATACATTGATTCATAAAATTGTTCGTGCTCGCCACGACAAATTAGAGATCGTATTAAAATCATACATTGTAATAATATAATTTATGAGAATCAGTTTATTTTACAGTTATTTTCTATTGATTTCGGTACGATCAATACCTGTTCATTATTATATAAGTGCTACTAAGGAGACATGTGATTTCGGGCTTCCATAATTAATTATTTATTGGATTTATCCCATGAAAAAATCTGAATGGGATATATATATGATAAGTGATTATGTATCATACATGTTACCATAAAGGACTAAATAAAAATGAAAGCTTGAAGTTTCATTTTCCCTTGGCAGCACTCATATAAATAAAATAAAAATAATTCCATCGTATGTTACTGGATATTAATAAACCTTTCCATTCTCTATCCAATCAGTTTCCTCCCCATGCATATCTTTAGTTTAATGCTTATGGGAGCATAATTTTTAGTAATTACAACGATAATAATCAACATATAAGTTTCTTGGTATAATGAGGTGAAAGAACGGATCCATTACTATATCGAGAAAAAAATATAGCCTCTGCTTAATACGTTCATTATTATGCTTTTAGCTCAAACCTGATTCTAACCATAATTAAATTCTAATTTTAACTTCAACAGAAATCGGTGTGTACTCTTGTGAAGCGCATTTACTAATGCTTTTTCAACTTCCAATCCAAGAATATTACCATTTAGACCAAAAAGTTAGCGTAGCATTCTCACAAAATGCATTTGCTAATGCTTTTCCTCATTCTGACTCAATGAAGTCAGTGTGATGTTTGTGCAAAATACATTCACTAATGTTTTTCCTTCAAAGAAGTTGGTGTGCTTTTCTTCCGCTAATACTTTTCTCAAAATTATCCAGGGTTATTATTGAAAATTTAAAGAAATCAGTGCAATGCTTGTAAATTGCATTTACTTACAAACTTGAATAGCTTATTTTAAAGACTTAGATTAATAAATTTTCTTATTAAATTAATATGAACAAAATGAAATTTAATAGTAAATATTCATGAACTTAAACCAATTTTTTTTATACTCACTAAATGCGAATAAATGAAAATGAAAATTAAAATGTAAATATTCACGAACTTGAATAGTTATTGCAAGCATTTAAATTTTTTTTCATACTCACCTAAACTACGCGAATAAAAGAAAATTAAATAGTAAATACTCATGAACTTGAGTAGCTTACTTTAAAACTCTAAATTTTCTCACGCACTAAATTAACACGAACGAATATTAAATTGTAATATTTATGAACTTGAGTATCTTTTTATATTAAAACAATAAATGTTTGGGAAAAAAAGTGACTTTACTAGGAAAGCGAATGTCAAAAATCAGTCGCGTACACTCAATTTTTAATAAAATTTAATACATTAGAAGACACAGTATCAGGTATTTATGATCTGCGAAGATCATAATTATAAATAAAATTTAGATCTTTAAAATTTCTGCAATTATTTGATCATTTTGTAAGATCATCGCAGATTATTATTGTTTTTGTTTTTCCGATGCAGCCAGAAGTTAAACGTAAACGGGGCAGACCGCGCAAAAATCCAAATATCGATGTGAGTTCCCCAAAGCGTATTCGACTCAACCTGAAAGGTAAAGCAAAAAAAATCGATAAAATATTGTCACCAAAAGATACAGATAAGATACAAACTCCGGAAAGTAATGATGAAATGCATCAGACAGACACACAACAGGAGGTTGTTAGTGGTGAAGCACAGTCATTAGTGTCTACTCAAGAGGACGAAATATTGGATGAAAAAGGCGAGCAAAAAATCACCAAAGATGGTGAACTTTTGGGTGGTAAGGTATCAATTCAATTTATATCTACATGGCAGATCTTAGTAATTTTTTTTATTGAATTTCATTCTTCATGTCATATTAGGTCGAAAATTCAAAGTACCAGTTTTCCAATTGCCTGCTCGCGGAGAAACTTGGTACATGTGTTCCATGGATCCATCTAAAGTCCTTGGATTTCGTGATAGTTATACATTTTTTACAAAAAATTCATCATTAACGAGGATTACTGCAACAAATGAAGAACGTGATTATTTGATTACTACTGGGCTTATTCCAACAAATCTTCGAAGTAGGCCAATTTCTCTTGTATCTGCCAGATCGATTTTCATGTTATTTGGATCGAAAATTATTCAAGGTGGTAAGAAGCGACTAGACGATTATTATGAATCCAAATTCGAAGCAGAGGCAAATGATAATGACCAAAACTCTGAGACAGAAAGCACTAATAACGTTCTTTCCAAACGCATGATCAACAGTCATATGACAATAAATAAAAATATAAATATAAATGACCCATTAAGTTGGATGTATAGGCTTTCACTTTCAACACGAGATTTTAATACTCGATTAAAACTTTGTCGAAAAGATGGTATTAAATTTTATGATCCTCATACCAACATTGAGCAAGTCCCTCGAGACAAACAACCCACAAGAATTCGAACGGAATTGATATCATTAACAAGGAAACACACGATTATCGAATCAGAAATCAAGTTTGATACAGTTTCTAGGAATCCGCTTGGAGTACTTAAACCAGAAGTTATGAATGTTTTACCACCGGATATTCGAAAAAATGTTGAAATTATGAATAACGAAGAGATTGCAGTACATAAAGAGAATGAATATCCTATTGCATTGATGAAAGGACAATTCCAAGCTTCATATCCATTGTGAGTACACATTGATGGCTTTTATCAAAAAAAAAAAAAATCGTAACTGATTTATTTTTCTGTTATTTAATGTAGGCATAATTCAAGATTTCAGCCTGATCCTTCCACTAAAGCACCCAAATTTACGGCACCATATATTTCTGCCACTTCTGCAGCAACTAATGAGGATCAATTTTATAATCAGAACAATAACCAGGTATACAAACCGTATTTTTTTTTAAAAGTTTCATCGATATTTTAAGGAATATAATACTAATTTATTCAATATTTACATGGTTAGAATATAAAGGGTAGCTTGCAATTTAGCAAGGCGAACCCTCAATACATCTGTGCGGTTATAACTGCAACTACCGGAATGCCATGCAGGCGTGCAGTGACGGCAAATGGGGAAAGATGTATGTATCACAGGAATACACCAAGTGTGACCTGTCACACTGATGGAAATTCCAATCCTGAATCTGGAGCTTCGCATTTGGCTCAGGTAAATTGTTATTTATTGAATTAGCGTTAGGAATTAAAATTTGCTTAAAAAAATATATTTTTATATATTACATTACCATATAACGTGAATAACGCCTAGGATGTTGTTTCAGATTACGGTCTGTAATAGGCTTAATTCTGGCCGTGATTTAAAATTATACCCTTGAGTGTTATTTCACGTTTACATGATAACCTGGTTGTTTTAAAAAAAAATTGAATATATAAAATTAAAAGAAAAAGACCGGTTACCGGAACCAAAAATTCATTTTTTTTTTATGGCCTATAATTAATACTTTTAACGATTATACGTTGTTAAAAATTATTTTAATTAAATATTAGCAAACTGTCGTGACAGAATCATGTGCAACTACGACAGATTCTAACGCACAACCTCTTACCATTCCTACGGATACCGTTCCTTCGGAGGATGCTTGTGCACAGTGTTTATCTGCTACTGCTCCCCCGACAACGATTCCACCTGATGGCGTATTACCATGCCCAAATGATTATACTATCAAATGTTCTAATTGTCACCGCAAATTTCATCCGCTCTGCTTGACCCTTTCATATTCAAGACTTCCAAGGCTTTTGATAGCGATGGAAAGCTACCAATGGCAATGCAACGATTGCAAAACATGTGTTGTATGTCGGTCTTCTGGTGACGAGGCGACATTGTTGATTTGTGATGACTGTGACCGTGGTTGGCACCTTGATTGTAGCTCACCGAAAGTAACCCAAGTACCAAGCGGTATAATTTTAAGGATATTTTTTTATTTGTTTTTTAAAGCAACACAATTAATTTAATAATAATTAACAATCATTTTAGAGCTTTGGTTATGCTCACTTTGTGCGCAATGTAATGCGTGTGGTGAGAAAGCGGCATCTTTAAATGATGCAGCAAGTAATTATCATCATGTCAAAACAACAGAGGCAGCAAATTATCCGATTTATTTAGCTACTATTTGCAATAAATGCCAAACCAATTTCGTGAGAGATTTATTTTGTCCAGTGTGCCTTAAAACCTATACAGAAGATGGACAAGAAAATGATGACGACAAATATATGGTCTGCTGTGATGGATGCGATCGATGGATTCACACTAGGTGTGATGCGACTCTCACACCTGAAAAATATCAAGAATTGGCGGATATTCCAGACGCTAAATATATGTGTCCATTGTGTGAGGGTCGTATTCGACCACTAGAAGAAGGAAACAAGCAGCAAAAAAAAGCTTTGTCAGGGAATCCTTTAGCTACACCTGTTGCAGTGACACCAAGTCACCCCATTCGAGGTATCATAAGTTTCAAGGGAAAGAATGTAGCCGTACCGGAGATTCGAGGATGGGAAAAAAAATTAAGGCATATTATTTGGTCATTTCTTATAATTAACATGGCTTATTTATAGAAGTGTGATGTTGTTAAATGGAAATTAGATCCATGCAAAAATAATAAGTCATGAAAGATGAAAATATAATAATAATATTGAAATTTTAATTTTTTTTTTGGACAAATGATACAATTAAGTCTATTAAGTCTATTAAAGTGTACATAACAATCAAAATTGCATAATAAAATTTATGTAACTACAGATGAACTAAGCCAAACCTTAACACAATAAGCACCATTTTGATTTTTACGTTCAACCTTTGCATAATCAATCATAGTATTCTCTAAAGAATGAAATCTAAAACTACCTATAGATTTATTGACTACACTAGTTCTAGCAGAGCATTTAC